GCTACGATAATTTTTTTTACGAGAATCAAGAGATACGCTGCGAATCTGCAGTGTCGATCTATTCACGCGTATGCGCTGTTTACTCGTTATAAACATCGAATTATCGTGCAGTAACATATGTGTGATATATTATAAATCACATCAATACGAAGTAATTATGATGAAGATATGATTGACTGTGAATCAACTCTTTCATAAACACGAAGAAATAGAAAATTTAACGTTTCTTACTTTTTTCGAGAATTTTATGTTCCTTTCTATGCTTCATTAGGATTTAGTTTTGGTTTCTCGATTGACTACAAATACAGTTGATTAAATATGTTTAACGGCAAATATAATTCACTGTGAAGTTATACAATAAGTGGATTTGAGACATATCGTTCCTTCTAAAGAGTGACACAACTTAAAAAATAAAGTTTCTTAGAAAAAGGGGAAAAATTATTTTCCAACTTGACAGAAAATCATTAATATCGATGATTAATACTAATATAATTATCTTTATATACTAATATAATTATATTAATACTAATATAATATAATTATCTAAAATTCATTCATGTTTTTCATTCCTACATTAGACTGCACTATACATTTTTTTTTGTTTTCACCAAATATTAAACATATATGTATTTATTTCATTTTAAGTTCCAAAAGTGTACTTATACTACTTCAGCTATAGAAAACAGACCTATGGTAATAACTCAAAAAATGTTATTTAAATTGCTGATGAAGACTCAAAATAAAAAAAAGTCGAAATCACTGATAAAGACTCAAAATAGAATCAAAACGTTCGAATTTTATACTTTAGAAAGGAATGATATACAATATTTAATACGCTCAAATTACCTCGTTTTACTCTTACATGTCCTATTATTATTGTTCAATATAGAGAATCACAGAGGCATAATTTGTTATTTTTTAAATTTTGTCATTTTTTAAATAAAGGAACAATATCTATTCTTGTAAATGGAGAGAGACTAATGAGATTTCTCACGAAGTGATGTGTCTCACCTTCCTTACCAAACATTGAACACTCGCCAAATGTGAATGGATGGGTCTGCAGTCGATCTTGTAGCAGCATATCGTCGACAGCTTGGCATACAAACATAGGCCATTACGTAGGACTACTCCAATGGCTGAATTTCCTGAACTAAACCGCGGCTTCGCGTGCACGACAATTCACCGGCTTCGTCACACACCTCAGCCTCGAGGAGACCATAGGCCGCACGTTCGTCGTTAATGTTACCGTACCGACACGCCGTCATGGTTTGCGGGTGGTCGCTTGAATAACGGAGTCGATTCTGCAGGGGTTTCATTGCTGCACCTTCTTGGTAATTCATATTTCATAACTAAAACCACCAAACATACAGTTATGCTGCACGACATTTGCATATTCATTTAATATTGAAATACATAAGACGTTATTATTATTAGAATAGCTTTTAAAATATGATAAGGCTTATGAACACTTAAAAACACAAAGTCACGATAAAAATAAAAGTAGAAAAAAGTATTTATAGTATTTGTATGAAGCTACAGCTAAAGATTTTCTTTTTTGTACTTTATCTTTCTGTACATATTAATTTCTTATGTTTTACGTCAACGTTTTCAAGGGATATATTGGCATTTCTCATATCGGTAATATGTCAATTCTCTCTAGACTATCGTGCTCGGAATAAAATTTTGAACTGAAATATCTCCGTGTGAGGAATAGTTTCCTGTCATATTATACGTCAGTTCAGGCTCCGGCTATTGCTTTAACTACAATATTTCCATAGCATTGATTTGTTCCCTTTCACAAGTGAGTTGGCGGTGAGGCAGCGTGACTCCTTTGATGCCCGAGAGGGCAATCGATTTACTCACCTGGAACATTCAATTATACAAAGGGCGACCCTTTGAAAAATTGTACGCTATTCAGAAGTTTAAACGCGCGCATATATTCTCGCAAGACGAGGAGGGTTAGATCGAAGTTTCGAAGGAAATAAACACGTGCTTCCGCGATGATCAATCTGGAGATTGAATGAAAAAGAAATATGACGTTCAACTCCCTTTACCTTTTTCCATCTTTTCATCGGACGTCTAAGCTCGTTTCCAACTTTCTCGTTTCTAGGTAAATTGATTTTTTTTCGTCGCGCTGTAGGGTGAATATAAAACCACTTTAAAATGAAATACTACCGTGCCAAGGGCGTAAATCAAACCTAATTTCGTCCGCTCGGAGACGAGCTGCCATTTAGTAGTTCGGAATTTTCTCGACGTCGTTGTTTAACGTGAAAAACTTCAATCGTACGGCAGAAGTGAAAAAGAATTTAAAAATTACAATGCGAATTCATGCGAGAGATAACACGCGTATGTTATGTTAGGATCATAAAAGGGAACTGAAGCTAATCGCCACTTGAATCTACATATTGTTCTGAAAGCTGAGGTTGCTTTGCAATTCAAATGAATTTTTTGTCCTCCCATCATATAGTTTGCGTGAATTTTGACTATCTCAAGTAGCATAATGAAAAGAAATAGATTACGGTGTTTAACTAATCGTCATTGTCAGAACAAAACGAAATTCGTCGTGTTTAAAATAAATAAAATAATTTATTTGTATTATATAATATGCTGAACGTTATTTATTTTTTACATAACTTTTAACTATGAAGTCGATGTATATTATTATAGATTATAATCTCCATATAAAATATAGACATTAATTTTAGAAATGTTAATCTTAATAATGATAAGAGAGAAAGGCATTGAGATGGAAATAAAGACGTTACTGAGCTAATTAGTTGATATATATATATATATATATATACATATATTGTATAAATACAAAGCTTGACTTCAGTAGTAAATTCGCATCCATGGACGTACTTTAGCAACGTGCGGCATACTTATTAGTACTCGATTACATGTGAATGCGCGCTGAACGCGTAGACAGGTTGTTCCGCTAATAGACTGCACATTCTCTTTATAATTTATTTAGATGCGTATTGAATGAAGATAGAAGAGAAAGAGAGAAAGAACAGAATTAGTGTATACAGGGGGAACCCGTTGCCTTTCTTCCTTATGTCGTACACGCCTTTACAACTGTCCACTCGTGTAAAAGTCTATCTCGCCTCTATATCGTTGGCTGCACTTGATCATTGAATTGATTTCGCCTGAGGCGATTCTGCCTAGCAATTCGCTGGAATAAATACTCTAATCAATCAGTTCTAAGGATAGTAATCTATCTACACCGGATTAAATTAAGCATTTGATAGGTATTCCGTGTCGTTGTTGCATTGATAT